AATTATTATTACATAATATTATTATTTTGAATTGCATTTTTTTTGCGACCGAAATTTAGGTACTAACTAAATTCGGTCGAACATTGAGTGCGTGTGTGCACGCGCGAAAGCGTGATTCGATATGGTGCAATAAACACATCTCAACAGCAATAGATTTGATATTTTATGTGAGATTTTTTTGTTGTTGTTTATGTTTTGTTTTTCTATTTTTGTTTGGAAACAGCGATGGAAATGACGTTCGATAAAAATGTTCTATTAAAGCGCTTAAGTGTGCACCTTTTGTACATATGTTGGCCTGATTTTAACGCGCTCATACACGTAGATAGATTGCTAACGGGGAGAGGCTACTTTTGATATGTCAATGGAAGCGAACATACAATGCTGCTCTAGATAGACCTCTAACAACGGGTTACCTTCCTTTTTGCGTTTCTTTTTTATACTTTACAAACACATAGAAACACAATTCATAGAATTCAGTTGAAATAGATACGCTTGCAAATCGACAGAATGAGCAAACGCAGCGAAAAACTGTTTGCCATCCATTTCTGGGAATTATATTTATGCTTATAGTTATTATTATTTTTTGTTGTTGCGAATGCACGTGATATTCATGACGAAATTCCAAGAGAATAAAAACCATTTTGAAAAATATTGCGTCTTATCAAAGTCACTTCTTCTTTTCATAATATGTAACGAGAATGCAAGAGATAAACAAATCAAAAACAGTAGCAGCTAACAACAATAAAATCATTACATTTTGCTCCAGTTCACCAGTTGTTTAATGTTATTTGATCGGTTTGTTGTTGTTTTGCTTCGTCCAAATCCAATGAATTGAGAAAGTTCGTACTCGTTACAATCAATTGTAATCTAGATAATGGTGGCGTCCAGTGTTCGGTAAAATCCAATTTTTGAGTATCTAAATAAGATAAGATTTTTGTGTGTGTCGAAAAAAATATCTAGATAAGATACAGGATCTTATCTAAAAAAAACATAGAAGATGAGATAATATCTCCGATTATCTGAGATATTTATGAAGATAAAAAATGGGTGAACATTTTTTATTTGAATTTTTTAGAAATATCTTAGAAAGTATCTTATCTGCAAGATAAGATAAGATATTAGATAAGATACTGTACATTTGATTGTCCGAGAATTAATTTGAGACTTCTCCTAAGATTTTATTGAAATGTAACACCGCCATGCAAAAAGTACTGAGTCGTCACCAATTTTTGTCTCACATTCATTCTCGGACAATCATTTTCACCTTGTGTATACGTGATGAATATCTTAAAAAGCATCTTACCTGCAGATAAGATGAGATATTAGATAAGATACTTTAAATAATAAGATATTAGATAAGATACTTTAAATTTTTTAAATTTGTTTTCTCAAAAAATTATCTTAAAAAGTATCTTATCTACCATTCAAAGATACTGAAATTTTTTAAAGTATCTAAATAAGATGAGATTTTTTCGGTCTAGGTACAGATAAGATATAGATAGCATCTTATCTGTATCTTATCTGGTATCTTATCTATTATCTTCATCTTTACCGAACACTGGTGGCGTCCGTAGAAAAAGAGAGTGAATGAGAAATTGTCGAGCGCAGATAAACAACCATTTTTAACTCATGCATACAATATATGACTGTACCGGTGTATATACAAAATAATTTCCATTCAAGCTAGCATTTAAAATTCGCCTTGCAATTTTCGTTGGCAGCAATAGCAACGCAAAAAAAAAGTGATTATCGAAAGAAATGGAATGAGGTTGCGAATAAATTGCTTTTATTCTGGGCGCAAAAATGCGAATGAAACACAAACACTTCCTCTACGTATTCTCTCCCTAGAAAACAGATCGAAAAATTCCAGACACACACACTTACACAGAGAGCTTCTGTTTGTATGTCGTGGTTTTTTTTTCGAAACTTTAGTTACGGAATATTCTCGAGAAAAAAAAATATATGCGAAACGAGTGTATGTGGTTGGCTCAATTTTCGTGTGTGAACACCTATCATATTATTGGTCTGGTTGTAAAGCGTTGCGAAAAATTGAAAAGTGAAAACAAATTAGCATCAATTAAATCGCTGTATGTCTCTCACATTCAGCTCTCTCGCTCTGGCTCTGTCAGTTACATCCACTGTTTACGATTCGAATGGGCCCTTTGTCGTGTGTTAGCACAATTTACAACGCAGCCACAACAACAATAACAACGAAGACGATTACGACGGAAATGCATTCGATACGTATATATCTGGTTCAGCATATGTCATACGGTTTGAATATCATCAGCCCGAAAATAGAGTTAAAATGGAACACAAATATTGAAATTCTTCATGTAGTCAAAAAAAACTTTCTCCCAAAAAAATATGGTACAATCCAAAAAAAAAAGAAAACAAATTGACTGAAATCGCCATACAAAAAAAGCACAGTAAAAATATAACGATTTCACATTGTAAAGTTGCATTCGAATCAATTCGAATTACATTATTTAAAAAAAACTAGTTAAAATTTCAACAATAATAACTCATAAAAACTGGCATATTATGCTAACTAGTAGAATACTGAATTTCAAATTTAGCCAAAAAAGCAGAATGAGAATTTTTTGAAAATAAAAAAAAAAAAAAAAAAAAAAAAAACAAAAAAAAATAAACAATGCTAAAGATATTATAACTGTACTAGACATATTATGTAAATTAATGCAACAAAAAAAATCCGACAAAAATACATTTAAAAACAAAATTATCTTAATTGAACTGTTATACATCTATATGTACATGTAAAACTATATGAATACATAAACGCAGTTCTCAACAAACGAACAAAAAAAAACACACGGTTTTGCGTTTCAATTTTTTTTTTGCTTTCATTACATTTTAGCTGTGCAACTGTTTGTTGCTTCCCCGTGCGTCCCATTAAATACTTTTTGCAATGGAAAAGTTTTTTGCGTGCAAAGAAATTCCCTTTTGAGACGTTGAAACATGATCATCCAATTCAAATTTATCGAAAAGAATTTTTTGCGTGTTTGTAACGCACAGCGCAGCAAATAAAAAGGTAATATTTCTTTAGCATGTATCTGCTGAATTTTCGCTTTTCATTTCTATGTCGTATGTGCCTTGTTTTGGTGTGGATTAATTTCTTCTTGTTGTTGTCGACATGACTCCCTAACGACCGAACGAAAAACGATGCTGGTGGGAAAATGAGCCCATGTTGAAAGAAAGAAAGAAAAAAATCGACTGAAAAACTTCTCAACAGGAAATTTAAATGAAACGACTACACTCTCTACCTACTTTGTCTACAACAAATATTGGTATTCAGCTTAAACAAAAGCGAAAAACTTCAATTTTAGCAAACTAACATACACGTGTGCGCGCACACACGCACGCACATACACATAAATGCGCGCATTCTTTTTATGATGCAGGAAAAAGATTCGACTAGAACACGCGAACAACGTTTACATAATGAAGCGCCTGACTTTTCAATTATGAATAACCATTTTCCACATTCTTTTCACTCACTCTTTCTCACTCACTCACTCTCTCGCTCTCTCTTCGGTCCCCTTGTTTTTCCTCGTCTTCTGTTTTTCCGATGAACAAGTGCGAGAGAATGACGTCAATCGTCGATTGCTCGGTGAGCGCCAATTATGTTGTGAAGAATGAGAGAGAGAGAGAAAAGAATGCCAACACACAAACATAAAGAACATTCAACTATCCGAAAAGAAGTTTGAATTAATGCGTCGTATTAGATACACACAAACACATATTGTGAAAACGTGTGTGTATTTGTGTGCAACAATATGGCATGGGGAAAGGTTCGTCGACCAAACTCAAGGACACGCAAAATAGTTATGGGTTCCCGTTTGCTCCTTACAACATAGCACAAGCTAATACCAAAGTGACGAGAAATGCGTCAACCATATCGTATGACACCAAATCATGTGTGTACGCGTAAATATTTGGATCTATCTATCTCGTTCATCCTCGCATCCATGCCAACACTTTCTCTCTGTCGATTTCTAAATTTCGTAGTAAAAAAAAGTTTTATTTTACTTCTTAAAACGTGCTAACAATCTTCCAAAACACTTTTACAAAGAACAACGCAAAAAGATTTATCGATTCAATGATGAATAGTAAAACAAAAATGCGCGTCTATTATAAATGGATTTGTTGCGTAGATTTTTTTCAGTCATCTAGTTTTTGGTTTGGTTGCTGTTCAACGTTCTTTTGTAACTTCTTTTCCGTATTGTCATCATCACCAATGATTCAAAGTAAAAGACTAAAAATCACAACAACTCAATCGGTCGCAACAAGAGATTTGGCTTACCAAAACAAAAAAAAAATGTAAATCCATTATTTGTTCCACTCAACAATGTTATCCATGGTTTTTTATGTGCGTTTGTTGTTTCGATTATGATGAATTTTTGGGCGTATTTTGCATACAAATCTCCTCGCTCACAGACATGCTCATTCCAAAACAGAGACCAAACACAATTGATATACAATGACTCATCATCATCCAGCACATAAAGTGGTTGCTATTATTACTTCCCATAGAAAAATGCGTAGTTCCAAAATTGAATGCCGCGCATTTTATACACAACGTTTTTTTTATGACAAGGTATAAAAAAAATCCTTTGTGTCTAAATAAAATTCAATTCAATTTAAGGCATATTTGCGATACATGAAAGAAATATTTTCATTGAGACATTTACATCAGATGGAAAAATGCGTAACCCTATTACGCGTCTATATTTAATTTAGAAGAGTTTTTCGTTGTCTGTTGGAAACGAATTCGTTTCGATGAGAAATTGGTGAGAGAAAATTTATGGCGCGCGTTTTGTGCATGAAACCCACAATATGTATTTAATCATATATTGTTTAATTTGATTGCGAAGAGAACACACAAAATAAGCTGACATCTATTCTGATTACATATATTCAAACAGGTAAATTTTAATACACAAAAATTACATATCAAATTTTGCATTTTTTATTCGCAGTATCTTTTGATAAATACCAAAAATTACAATCACAATAAAAACAATTTTACGGGAAAAGGATTTATCAGCGAAACATCGAGTTGAAAATTAGTATCAAGATGACAACAAACGAAGCTACAATTGATATGGGACCAGGTACACATGCCGTACCTTTGTCACTGTTTCGTGACAATCGATTGCGTGTATGCAACGCATTAAAAACCATTCCGAATATCGGCGATGACAAGACGTACATACTCCTTCAAGGCGGCAATTCAATTAATTTCTACAATACCGATACCGAATACGTTTTCCGGCAGGTAAGACGCGCACACCATTCAAGTCAAATGATCAATATGCGTTGCATTTTGTTGTTGAACCACTTCACAATAATATCGATTGAATTGATAAGAAAATTGCATCACCATTCATGCCATTTCACTACATTTTTCTTCCTCACGATTCGTATCTGTATTTGATTATTCAATGGAAATTTTCCGATTCGTGAAAAACGGATTCCATACAAATGCAGCTATTGATGTTTAGATGGCAAAAAAAAGAAGAAATTGATTTCAATGGATTGGAATATTCCTTAAATAAATTTCATCTTTTGTGAACGGAAGCACAAAAGATATATCTCGAATTGGATAAGAAGAAAAGAAAGTTATGATGTTCACACAGAAGAAAAAGAGTAGCAAAAATCACAAAGAATTTTTCTGTGAAGAAAATTGAGCGTTGAAATATTTATGGCCACGGAAATAAGAGTTCTCTTTTCGAATATCATCGATGATTTAGATTAACTTTGTGGAAAATATGAACTGTTCATGTCTTATTCTACGTTTCATTTTCAACATCATGACCTTTAAGTAGTTCGCTTTTCTCTGGCGAAGCATTATAAAAGCAGAGAGAAAACATTTTCCATGATATTTTCATCGTGTTTTTTTTCTTCTTCATCATCTTCTCAAGTACTTTTCGAAACTATATAAAGTTTTTCCTCAACATTTTCCAACGAAAATCTCTTGAATGCGTTCAGGGACGTTGAAACATAAATTCAATCAATTATATTTGATAAATGTTTTCTTAAAAGATATAATCACTGCAGAAAACAAAGCGACTGCTGAATACATTGTTTTTGCCCACACTTGTTTTTTGATAAAAATCAATGGAAATGGAAACACACCGCATGCAAGCATACAAAAACATGGATAATGCAATGAAATGTGCCATTACTATTTTGTTTTGTATTCGATGCTAATTAATTTCATAATAACGAACGGAACACGTTTGTGAGCATTAGAGTACATTTTGTATTTGGTATCAATGGTATCAAACAGACCGTTCCGTTTAGACGGTTTATTCAACAGTCTGTGACAACAACGTTAAAGATAACGAAGAAAATACATTGTTTTGAATGAAATCGAGTAGCCAACTACGCATCGATCCGGTTTATTTATAGGAATCAAGTTTATTTTTTCTTTATTATTTCGCAGAATTGTGTTTGTGAATAACAATTTTATCGCCCAATGCGGTGTAGAAGTTCGAAAATTAGCCAAATGAGAGAATAAATCACAAGAAAAATCAAGTGGTATGCATACAGCGAGAGGGGGGAGGTGATTTCAAACAAAATCCATGTATACACAAATTCAGCCAAAGCTAAAGTTCAAAATCAATAGAATGATGAATGGAAATAATGTTTATAATTATAATCTGTTTGCATATTTATTTGAATCGTGGCATCGAATCGATAATCCTATTCGAAATATAATCGGCTGGAAATTTGCTTGGTCAATTGGCACGAATATAAATTAATTGCAACTTAGTCGTAGTGCCTTTTCGTTTTACTTGTTTGCTATTTTTATATATATTTTTTTCGTAACGATGTTTACCGATTAAATCAAGTAATCACATACAATGATTACAAATTTTGTCTTAAATTTTATTGCACAATGTTGTTTTGATGCAATGCAAAGAGAAGAATGAATAAAATGTCTTTGTTGCCAGAAATACACATTTTATTCACTCAATATGGAAGTATATTATTGATATCAAGCCAATAAAAAGTGAGTATTACGATCTAATTGCGACTCCATGTGGAATCGAAGTTTTTTTTATTTGATTTTATAATCAGAGAGAACGAACGTTTCTGAAAAAGCAAAAAAAATATGAAGTAATGATTCTAAATTTAATACGAATACAATATAGATGTGTAATAACACAATATTGTGAAATTGTCAAGCATAGTGTGTTCAATAAATAATTGCTTACGTCTCAAGATGTCCATTTCAAATGAATAGCTCTGTCGATTTATAATACTTATATCAACGAACTTTAAACATCTGAATGTCTTCCAAAAAAAAAATAAAACAGAACCCAAATAAACAAAGAGCTTATCGTATCTATATAATATTTAGTATGAGGCTTTGGATTGTCCGATACATATATAAATAAAAAATTGACGAACGTGTAAAATTCGCATATTAATCATTGTTTTATTATAATTTTTTTGTTCATTCGTTTCATCGTTCTTCAAGCATTTGTCATCAGTGGCAGTCATCGTTTGTATTTTTGCGTATATCAGGCGGCTGCTATTACAAAACTCACGACGCAAATTCATTGAACAAGCCGATTTTTTTTTTTATATTTTCAACAACGCAAAAATTTGCTCTTATCACAAGCAATAAATTGCTCACCAGACCTATTACACAAATATATATGTTATTACAAACATATGATGAAATTCTTACAAAATTGAGCTTTTTTGCTTCTTCACTTGCTGTCGGACATTTTTGCTTTCTTGAGAAAAGATTGCTTGATATGTTATAAATGATTATTACTTATGATTCAATTCCCATGAAATGGTTCAATTTTGTTTCTTTTCCTCTGCCTCTCTCGGCACTCTCTTCCTCATTGACTGTCGTTGTTGTTGTTCTATTGACATTTAGAATGCTATATGACCCAATAATATGTGCGGTAGCGCATGGCATAAAATCCAATATATTCCGTTTCCAAAAATGAAAAGAAACTCTCAGTCGGTTTCGTTGGCGTTTAAATGAATTTTCATTGTGCCTGGTATATTTCCATATGTAATTGTTACCAATATGTCGCCGCAAAGACGACTCTGCAATAATATCACACTCTGGCAAAATACCATAAATAAAATACTTGAGAGTGAAAGAAATCGATTGCATTTTATGCTGCCACTCATGCTTTTATAGCTGCATTTATGTGTGCAATTTAAATTTTAATGGACTTTACAAATATGCGCATTTTTTTTTTCATTCGAGTTTTCCTACGATTTTCTTATGTCAACATAAATTATAGCTCGTGTCAAAATCTCAATTAAATTAAAATTGAAATCGAATTATTATATTAAAATGTTATTTTCATATTAAAACGATATTTCATTATTAAAAATTCAAATTAAAAAAAAAGAATCTGTTTATTTATTTGGGTTATCAAATGAAATTAGGAGCCATTCTTTACCTATTTCTTTGGTGTACGAGAGCCGGAATTTTATGGTGCTGTTAATGTGTTTACGGGAAAATCAACACTTTTTGCACCAAGATTGCCGCAAGAATATGCCACCTGGATGGGCACACTATGGACACCCGATGATTATAAAAATCGTTATTGTGTCGACGAAGTGCGTTACGTGGACGAGGTGAGTTTGTTTAGGCTTCGACAATATTTCATAATCGTTGTTTTCCGCGTGTGTGCACGCTTTGACTTTCAATTAACTTTCAACATCATTAAATTGTTGTTTTGTTCCATTTTTTTCTTCTTTTAAATTAGCTCGATGCATTCTTCACGGAACACAAGGCATCCAAATTATTATTGTTGGTAAGTAAATTAACACATTTGTTTTTCTGTTTTGCAAACAACATTTTCGTTTCTTTCAAACAAACACAATGGAATAATCCGAAGAATTTGTGTTCGCATTTTGACAACGAATGCATCAGACATTCGAAAAATGTATTTTTATTCTTTGATGTGACGAATGAGAGATAAAACGAGTGAAAGAGAGTAAGAAATACTCAGGCTTCCGCCTCTGATTAAATGCCACACTCGATGATGCCTAGACACTTACTCTCTTTATCTTTGTTTTTCACTCTTTACTCTCTATATCAATATGCCGTAGACGCTATTTGACGAGATTATGAGCGCATTTATATTGCATACTCTATACGGTTTTATTTATACATATGTTGATATTTTTCCGGTGCGCTCATTTTCCATTTTTATTTATTTATTTATTTTTTTCGGCTGATGCCATGGCGTGGTTTCTGTTTTTTTTAATATCAAGAGGCGTAGATAGGTATGGCAAACAGAAAACATACACACAATTTAGTGTAAATAAATGAATGAATAATGATAAAGGAAAAAAATGAATATGATATACTTTGAACGAATGCTGATATACATACTGTTTGTAGTGTATTCTTTTTAATAAATCAAACACGCAACGTTCCAATCATTCACTCGCGTACATACACTTAAATAGATCGCGGCCGATTTCATTTCAGACACATTTGCATACAACAACAAAAAAAAAACAAGTAAGGTTTCAAGCTTGAAATTTCAATTTCATTTTTTCTATATCCGTTAATCGTCTACACGGACAATATGTATATTACAGTATCCAATTGCGGTTGAAACATTTCATAAATGGTATCAATTTTTAATGATATCATTTGAATATCGTTCTTTTATTTAAAAATTTATTTGGGGAAAAATGAGCTTGTAGAGCTTATTATAAAAAAAAAATGTTGTTTGATTAGGTAACAATAACAACAACCGCAAATAGTGTCAAATCAATCAAACAGCCAAATTAAGCAGTTGAAAGAATTGACTCAAGTCATATGTGTATTGTTTAATAGAACACAATCTACAGTTCTATTCAAGTCATTTCGACTCGCTCGCATTCGATCGCTCTCTATCTCTCTCGTTGTCTATCTCTCTCCCGCTTGCATGAATCAATTTAAACGTTGATGATTCAAATTTCAAATGCTTCACTCGTTCAAATTGAAAAGGTTTTTCAATTTCATCATTCTTAAATGAATCTACCAAAACTGAGTATTCGCTTGTTATATTTGCTTAATATGTATTTTTCTTTATCGAAAACACACAAACCATCGATGTTTTGGCAACTAAGAAATCAGGCAACCATGGTGCTTAATGCTCAAAGTTAAAAATTGTGTTCGCCATACAAATGAGAAATAGAGAATTCGAGTTTTTGTTAACTCTTTCTAATACGTAATAAAGACTTCAAGTTTCGGTTATTTTACGTTGCTGGAATGCGCTTCATTGTGTTTACAAAACAAGCCCGCTGAGCTATTTAGCAAATTAGAATATTTTGGTTGTTAGCCAAATGTTTACTATGTGTGTGCGTAAAAAATAAAATTAGCTGGAAACGTACGTTCTCATTTACGCATATAAAAATCTAATGGTTAGAAACGAGCCAATGAAAAAAAGGTGAAGCACCGCCAAAATGTTTTTGACCTTGATTCTACCAATTTTTCGATTCGAATTTAGATTTGCCATTTACAGAACATATCATCGACGATATTCTATTTGGAAAACCCATTCGAACTAATCGAATGTGATCGTTTGGTCTTTTGTTGAGTGCGCGAGCGAACATGTGTGCGGTTCAGTTCACATTATTTATTGGTCATTTATTGTTTTGTTGTAATATAATCCAGATATTGAAAAATCATGTATGAAAAAAGGGATCTCATTTCATGTAAAGATCAAAAGATGCGCAAATGGACTTCGACATTCATTTTACCGGGGGGACATTGGCCTTTTCATCATTTTATTTGCGCACTTTTATGAAAGAAGAAACAGAAACACAATCTGAACATTTTATTTAATATTATTTAAGTTCGTTGTTTTGTTTGCGCAAACATTTTCTATCTATAAACAAATGCGCGGTTTACAAAACTTATGCAGCACTTAATTAGAAACTGATCGAATTTATTTTTTTTATTAATACTTGTTGTGCTACGATTTTTGAAAATGTAAACAAATAAAAATTAATCGACGCAAGCGGAATTGATAGAGAGAGAGAGAATGACGTCGGTGAGAAAGAGATTGAGAGAAATTGCTGTGATTTACGTTAACCATGTTGTGATTTTTTTTGTTGGTGAAATTGTTCAAGCTCAATTTCACCGAAAAACAAATAAAACGACAGGTTCAACGAACCACATGAATGACGACATAAACTATCATTTGTATTGTACTCGTTTTTTTGTTTTTCTTCTCTTCATACATTTCTTCGTGTGTTTGTACAAAATGTGGTATTGTTTCACTCTTTCGTTTAACAAAATATAAATTTCCGCATGAAATGTGTAGAGTTTTTTTTTAAACATATTAATTTTTGTTTGTCATTTGTCATTCCTTTTATCCATTGTAAACAGAAAGGTAAAAACTCGGACAGCCACCTTGTTATTCAACCGGCTTCATTCGATGGAATCGATAAGTAAGTAAAACGTTTGGTTTTTTTCTCTTTTCGAAAACATTGTTGATGTGTTGCCCATTTTCAATGAATCAACGAAGCAAATGTTAGATTGGGCAACTTTAAACGCGTGAAAAAAACGACTGGTCTTTAAATAACGAAACCGATGCGAAAAAGATATTGCAAATATTGTTCAACATATAAATATACACCGTGCGCACTGAGTTTTGAAAGCACTTGTTTTGATTATAAAAAAATTCAACAGCGAGCGCCATCTAAACGTCAACACTGGAACACGAAAGAAAGAAAAGAAAAATCAAAATTCCAACGAAAAATAAGCGATATTGATTAAATGTTCTATTCGATGTTTATTATGTTTACAGGTACAATTGCGATGTGGACACTTTATATCCGGTGGCTGCTGAATGGTAAGCACTTTTAAATGCATTTTCTCATATGCAAAATAAGCGATATTTCGTTTAAAAACGAATTGATGGATTGGAAAAAGTCACGCGAACACGAAAACGCACATGAATACAATGCGTCAAATGTGATGTGTGACAGTTGTTGTTTTCTATATGGTTATACAATAAATAGTTCGCAGTCGCAATTCATGAAAAAAAAAAATTGACGGCATTCAATGAATAAAAGAATAGACGGTGTGGTGCATGGTCAATAATAGTTGCGCGTCTTTTTTTTACGTTTTGTAAACTTAAAAGAGAAGTGGAGATTCATTCGAACGATTTGTGAATTTCATCAAAAGTCTAAAAGTGAAGTTATTGTTTTCAATAGCATTGATTTTTGTTTTGGACAGAGTGCAAAAAGGATTTTTTTTTCGAACGGAAGGGAGCATTTTTTATGAAGGACACTGATACAATTGTGAGATTTTCTGTTTCTGCTGCAATTCAAAATTGTTGATGTCCGTATGACGAAATAACTTGAAAAAGTTGGCAATGTCATATTTCATTTTGAATCAATTGCGATGCTGTCGAAGTCGTATAAATCTTAACAAACGATATGGATTGTGTGGTCAACAGCAACCCCAACAACAACAGGTGCTAAATTACAGTAGTACCAATAAAGATGATGACGGCGGTAATGACAAGGAGTCTGGATGGAAAGCGACGCATCATCGTCATGGTCTGGGCCAGACCGTCGTTTTGGTGCAACAAGGTGTTGACATTCAGGAGTTGCCAATCATTGTGCGTCATTACGGTGAAAATGAAATTACCACATTTACGTCCAATAAAATCCCATTTAAATTTCACCAACAAGATGACGAAACACATAAATCGTTACACAGCGAAAATGCATCGATGGCCACTGACGAAATTGCCGCCAATGCAACAAATACCAATTCCACCGCTGCTGCTGCAGTAGCAGCACACATATCCGCCTCGTCAAATAGTACAAATGTGTTTATAAACCCTGTAACCGATTGTGATACACTCATTAAAATTTTGGAAAAATGTGAGACTGGTGAAAATGTATTGCAATTGATTGCATCATTGCCCGAACATGAGCTTGAATCGGACACGCTTGTTTTTGCATTTGAAAAATGTGTACGCATTGAAACGATGCAAATGCTTAAATTGTTTGAAACCAACAACGAACAATATCAACATTTATTGAGACATTTGTATCGTGTATGCGATACAAACACATTATTGAATATATTAAATCAATTGCAATCAATGCTATACATGAATCAATCGATTGACCAAATATGTGATGAAATCTTAATTCGAACTGCAGATGGTTGTCTTAGCATAATGGAAATATGCGAGGCTGTACATCGTTTTGTTGAATGTAAACGTTTTGCTGGCGCTGAAAAATTTTGGGCTGGCCTATCGGACGGAAGTGCAAACATCAATGAGAATAATATTAAATTTGTATTTGAAATTTTGCCAAAATTAAAGGTCAGCCGTCGAATGGTGGTTGGCATCCTTGATCGTCGAATCATTGAAGTATTTCCATTGCTCAAATCGGACGCGGTGCACGATATTATGGAAGCGATAAAACAGTGCCATTTTAGTGGACATTCAACATGCACCCTGAAAGCAATCACACGATGGTTAAATGTTAACATTCATGCGGTGAATGAAACGCATCTTGAGCAAATTGTACATTGTTTGACCGCCTTGAATTATTCCGATTCGGATTTAGAAAGTGCCATTGAACGTTATATGAAAGCAAAAGCAACAAAAGTCAAATCACAAACGTTGATCGTTGAAATGCTCAAGCATGTTGAGATGGCCCGTCTTATAAATTCACACATTTTAAACGGTTGCAGTGAATTTTTTATCAAAGAATGTGCAAACATTGATGCCGGCTATTTACGTGACATTGTTTGTCCATTTGGTAAATTACAATTTCAACCATTTAATAAGCAATCGTTTTGGACCAGCATTGAAATGCAATTGGAGAAAAATTTTAATAAAATCTCAGCGGTACATATTGTTGACATTTTATTGGCGACCGTTTCACTTAAATTATATCCCGTGAATTTTATGGGTCGAGTGTTCAATAGACAATTCATGCATTTATTGCATAGCAGAACGCCAATGAATGAATTGCCAATGGTTCGTTCAAAGCTCAAAATATTGGACATTGCATTGACATTGGAATGCAATGAATATCAAGGACCGTTACTACCACGACAATTTGAGAGACTATGCATTGATAATCGCATCAAACAAATCATCAATGACAATTTGGATATAATTACATCGGTTGCCAGTGGTAAAACATCATTTTCAATATTACAAGTTCCACAATTGCTACCAATTTGCAATTTATATGCAATCGATATACTATTTCATCCGCCCGGTCTCAGTTTACATAATTATAATAAGGACAAGGATCGAAACATTCTAGTCGCCGCTTTGATTCATCTACCAGAACATTATGATGCGAGCGGCAAATATTTGATAGGCGAACAACAAATGCGTATTCGACATTTACGTCATATTGGCCTCAAAGTTGTTTCACTGCAATACACGGTTATGCGGAAGCTCAGCATGCATCGCAAAGAACTTTATGAATACATTGCCAAACAATTGAAACACACACTACCAGCCATTGAACCAATTGCAAATGAATAAAAGAAAAACAATATACACACACATACACAAATTTGTTAAGTTTTCTTAATTCTAAATAATATTTCTAAAAATAAAGACAAAAGCTCAAAGCAATTCATTAAATACATCATTTTTTCCCCTCTAAATTTATAAAAAAAAGAATAATTCTAAACATAAATTAAAAGTCTTTGCCAATGTAATACAAAGAAAATTGTACAAATTCGCATTGGAAATGAAACCAGAGAAAAAAAGAATGAAAGAAAAGTAAATATATTTGAAATGCGGCTTTATCAAATTATTATCATCATTTACCTCCTTGCTAATTATATATTATTATTATAAATAAAGAAAGAATGTATATCGATTAAAAAAAAAAAAAAAAAAATAAAAATTCAAACAAGTTGTTATCAATTCCGTATTTTTTCAAATTAAACTTTTGGATCAATAAAATCTCTTCAAAAAAAATATCTTATCAAAAACACCACCATACGTCCTATGCATTTTCATTGACGTGTATTGTTTCCACTTCCTTCTTCCTGCTTTCTCTTTATCTCGATTTAAATTCCTTGTATTTATCTTTCTTGCAGTCGTGTGATTAAATCGCCAGCTGAAATTGAGGTCTTGCGTTACGTAGCCAAGGTATCATCCGATGCGCACAAGCTTGTCATGAAAAAAATGAAGTATGCACGTGTATCAATTTCAAATGTCCATGAAATATGCAATTTGTATTGATTGAATTTTATTGTTTGTTATTCATTTTTCTGTAGACCGGGAATGAAAGAGTATGAAGGTGAATCGCAATTTTTGCATCATTCATATGCGGTCGGTGGTTGTCGTCACGTTTCGTACACGTGCATTTGTGGCAGTGGACGAAATGGTTCGATTCTTCATTATGGTCATGGTGCTGCACCAAATGATAAAGTTGTCCATGATGGTGAAATGCTTTTGTTTGATATGGGCGCCAATTACTTTGGTTACGCAGCCGATATTACGTGCAGTTATCCGGTTAATGGAAAATTCACCGACGATCAACGTCTGATTTATAATGCCGTTTTGGCAGCATGTCAAGCCGTTCATGATAATGCAAAAGCTGGCGTCAATTGGGTGGACATGCATGAACTGGCCAACCGGGTGATGCTGAGCAAATTGAAAGACGGCGGTCTTCTGCAAGGCGATGTTGATGCCATGATCGAAGCCGGAATCAATGGGGTCTTTCAACCACATGGATTGGGCCATCTGATTGGTAAGAAAACTTATTTATTTACACTTTCAAAGAATGTATACACCGATTTTGATCATTTATTTTATTTCAAAGGTATTGATGTTCATGACGTTGGTGGTTATTTGGATGATTGTCCACCACGTCCAACTCGAAAGGGATTCACTTCGCTTCGTTTTGCACGAAATCTAAAAGCTGGAATGTATGTCACCTTTGAACCAGGCTGTTATTTCATTAAGCATGTAAGTATTTTAATACGCTTTTTCCAACATGGTTTTAACTAATTCAATTTCAGTTACTCGATGAAGCATTGAAATGTCCAGAAAAGAGCAAATTCTTGGTTGCCGATCAGTTGAAGCGTTTTGAACATTTCGGCGGTGTTCGCATTGAAGATGATGTTCTAATCACTGAAAATGGCTGTGAAAATTTTGCCATTGTACCCCGAACGTAAGTAGTTTAAAAGGTTCGACCTTTTTCAAAATGAATTTGTCTAATTTGACACATATTTTTTTTTAGTGTTGAAGAAATCGAAGCGTGGATGGCTTCATAGGCGACGATGACTGAAACTCTTCCAAATAGCTAATTTTTCATTTTTTTTTTTCACTTTTCTATGCAAATGATTTAAATCATTACAATTATATTATACAATTGCTGTAATGAAATAAAAATATTGTTTATCAAATGGTTAAATTTCTTTACATGTTTCGTTCCTCTTGTGTATTTTTGACACCTAGATCCTCGTTTTTATATTTATTACGAAAAATCGCTATGGACACCAAATTAGTCGCATTTTTGCCAACTTAACGATAAACTAACAAATATTGCTCCGATCTACAATGCCTTTTTAATAAATTATTTTTTTCTATTTTCATCTTTTCTAACGAAAATTTATTGCTACTTACAAAAAAAAATATTTTTCTTCACATCTAAATGTCAGAATCTGATTATCTGAGTTGACATATAAAAAATTGTCAATTTTCAAATTGAATAAATCGAAGAATCTTTCCATGAAATCATCAATTTTATTAATTTTGTCCAAAATTTAAACCTTTTTCAACGTCGAGTGAACATTTGTTTCAACCCAAAATTGTGTAAAGTAATTTAAAATTCAATATTTGTAAAAATGAATGATTGGGTCGATCCAGCAATTGTCATTGGGCGGCAGATAGAACCACTTTATGAAGAATTTTTGAGTAAATTTAATGGTTTGCACCCTTTCATAAATATTATGCCATGCAATTATGTATAATAATTATTTGAATTTCATTCAGAGGTAGACGTTGTGATTTCAACAAATGATGATATTCCGATTACGTCTGGACGCACCGCAAAACTCACACGTTTCGTTCACAATAGTCGAAATCCTGTTGCCTTTGAGTTTAATTATCAAGATACTGATGTGGGGGTGGCCTGGGAAACTGCGGATAAAATCTTTTTAAAATCGAAATGCCCTCGCTGCGATCAACGAATTTTAATCAATGATTTGGAACATTTAGCTGATCACTTTCAACCTTATACGGAATCCACACATTTAAGAGAATTTATGTTAGCAAATTTCAAGGTCGATGAATCGCTTGTAAAATTTGCTAAGCGTTTTAAAAGGTGTTGCACTGAATTTAATCGCATACTACATGGTTGGCAAGACTTATGAAATTGTGTTTATGAAAAGAATATTATTGGTGTGCTCGCATTTTGGTGAGGCTCTTGAGTCCACAATCAGTGAAAAGAAAATCGCTAGCCGCACTGATTTTTCATTCGAAGTCTCACGAAAATGTGTCCAAACTAACAAATGACTGCACTAATTGTTCTAAATATTTCATTTATTTAGATCAGTTGGCCATTTTTATGAATGATCACGGTTGGTACCTCGTTAAAATATCAGGCTTTTTCCCATCAGACCGTGGTTGCATGTATAAATTTGATGAAGATTACGAATTCCATAGTATTGATGGTCACTTTGGTGCATCAAAAAATGTGCGTCTTTATTTTAATCATTGCGAATTATGTGACACTTATATGCTTTATGGCACATACAAGAAACATATTAAACGCTATCACAAGACGTTTTTACATCCCGTTAAACAAAAATGGATTGAAGATTGGTTGACTTGTGCCAAAATTTGAATAATGAAAATATCGTTTATTAAATTACTACATTTCATTGCAAATTATATACGATTGTGTTTTAATTTTCATTCTGAATGTGAATCTTTTTAAATTTTCATTGTTGTTGGTGTATTTGAGCGCAAAATTTCTGCAATTTGTTGTAGTTTCTCTTTTGCATCGTTGATTATATCGTCATGATTATACTCCTGAAGAAAAAAACGTAAGAGTAAATGTAAATGGACTGAATTAAGGAAAGGTCAAAATTACCTTCTGCATTTCGTCGAATGTAGTTGTGGCTTCTTTTGTTTCGTCAATCAAATCGGATAGTCGTTCTTCGAGATGAGAGATTTGACGATAATTGTCATTTGATTTTAATTGCTCTTTTATTTCTTCGTTACGCTGTTGCGCCTCTTCTACAACATTCTCAGTAACACGTTGTTTATGCTTTAAGTCTTCCAATCGAGATGAAGTTTCGTCGTACCGTTCAGCTGATTCATTACGTAATGCCTTTGAAATGTATATGAATATCTTTCCATTATTCTTTGAATATCTTTTTTTTAATTATCGATTATCTATTGTTTTGTCCATAGTATGTTTTCTCTTTATGCTCAACTAATATTCGTCTTATGTAACTTACACTCAAATTGGAGAATTTTTCAATTTCCTGTTGTAATTGAAGCTCCTCCTTTTGAATGGTATCAATTTGATCTGCGGTACGTTTCTTGAGTATTTGAAGTTGTTTCAAAATCACCAGCAAACGCTTGTATTCCTTGAGCATACCATGCTCAGATGTTAAATCGTTGCCATCATCTAATGCTGCCTTCGACAAACCCAACGTTTTTAGATTTACTCCATTCATTGTTATTTGTTCAATTGCTGATGTTATTTGACTTTTGATCATTTCGATTTCTAGAATTAAATTTCATTAAAAAAAATCAAAACTTCTGTTTATACGAATGATACTCACTGTTCATTTCGGCTTGTAAATTCTCTTTAAAATTGTCCATAAATTTGGACATCGTTTCATCGCGATGTTTTAATTCTTTATATTTGGCATAACGTTCTGAATTGCCTTCGTCCAAATCATCATCAATTTGCTGTAATAGTTCACGTTTTTCATGCAAGGCATCTTCGGCCAATTTGATTTGATGTTGAATGCCGTTTAGAGCCTGTTTATTTTCTCTCACTTCGCCAATCAATTTTTCACGTTCTTGTGCCGGTGTTAATCGGCGTTGCTCCTCTTCCTTTAATTGCATCAATTTCATTTCCAATTCGTTCAATTTCAGTAGCAATCGCACCGCTTCGGCACGTTCATTTGAACTTTTTGCAATCGTTTCAAGGTTGTCTCTTTTATTAATCATCATATTGATTTCTTCATGCATTGCATTATTTTGTTCGCTCAATTGTTGTGCCAACGCATCCAATTTACGATATTTCTCTTGGTCTGGTTCACTCATCGCTTCGATAACCTTATTTATTTTATTGCGTTCCAATTCAATTTCTTTCTCAAGTTTTTCATTGATCGCTTCTTTGGCTTGCTTTTCATTGAATGTCTTCTCCAATTGCTGTTGAAACTCTTCATTTCGTTCACGCAGTACGGTTGTCTCTTGATTCATTTGCTGACGTGTTATATTACTGTTTGCTGAATCTAAAGCGATATTCATATCGGACAACTTTGCTTGAAGGACTAAAAGAGAAAAAGTGTGTGTGTGTGAGAGAGAGATAGTTAATTCAAACAAAAGTTTTCACTTAAAAAAGAGTATTTACCCGTTAATTCACGATTCGCCTCTTTTGCTCTCTTATCAAATGTTTTTTTGGCCGATTTTTCCCGGTCCATGGTCTGTTTTTCGCGTATCAAGCGTTCCGTTTCGCGACGAATTTCATCCATTTTAATTTGAAGCTGAGATTGCCAATAGCGCGCATCTTTGATTTGTCGTGTACCAGTCGACGTACCAATTCGGCCCTGTGCTCCTGGCAACCCGCTCAGCCCATGCTGAGTCAATACTCGTGCCGATCGTCTCTGTATTAAATCAAAATGCAACATTTGAAAACAAGAAATCGGAAGCAAAAATTCACGCGACTTAAAATTCATCTAAAATTCCCTTTTTTATATATATTTTCTCTTCAGACACAAAGAGAGACAGAGAGAAATAAAGAAAATGAAGTTAAAAATCTCAATTAACACCTTATGTATTTTGGTTTTCGTTGCTTTTTAGATTTATTGTTTTTTTTTTGTTTTACTTACATTATCAGCGATTCCAATTGCCGTTCCAATGCGTTGACTTGGTGCGGTCGGACTATGCTGTAATGCACTGGTTAAACGTGTTGCTGTTCCACCTGCTAATGCTGATGGTGGTCGAGTTGACATGGGGCGAGCAGATGTTAAATTTCTTAAGGAAAAAAATCATTCTCATTTTTCTCTCATAATTTTCCGTTCGATTTTCGACAAAGAAAGAAAAATTATATGTCTCAATCGATACGACAACATACAAAGAAAGCAAAAAAAAGACAACAAAAAGAAAGTTAAAAATATGTATACCTGGTGGATGTTCCAGGTCGACTGAATGAACTGGAACCTGGTCGTCGGCCAATGTCACCGCGACGAGAAACCGGACGGTTCGATTGATTATTATCCATTTTTAATGTGTTAATGGGTCTTTATTTTCTATTCAACTATTTAATCCGTATTGCAATTTTCACAAAACGTTCGATTTATTCGAATGTCGCAATGTTAAGTGTTTTGTTTTTTCTTTTTTTTGAATCCAAAATTTATAAACACATTTAAATTATCAAAATGACATTGGAAATAATTGCAGATTTTTAAATTAATAATTCGGTTAACCTGGATTCAATTTCACAACAAAAGAAACTAACTAATTATAAAACAAATGAAAATGCAGCGCGATTCCCGTGGCTTTGATAAAATATCAAATTGATTTTATGTATTTTGTTTGCGGATTGCATCGATTGCTTGGTAACGAACCAACACGAAATGGTAGAAAATTGAACGTTCAGATGGCGCTGTATGTATAAGACTCGTTTTCAAATTTTATCCAGTTGGATTTTTATATTTTTACCATACGCCACACACCTACAAACGGTAAAAAGGTAACGATCAACATTTTTACGAATAATACCAATAAAATTGAACAGCAGCAGGCACACATCGCATGTGAATTGAAAGCGTTCATTAATGCATCGTGTAATTTGCTGAAACCGCAAAAGGGACGACGACGACGAGACTGGAGCAAAATAAACGAAAAAAGCAACAAACCTAGCGAATATGCGGCGTACGACCGACAAAACTGGATCGTTGAAAACATCAGGCGCTATATATTGCATGCAATTCGATATCAGATTGAAAATGGCTTGATGTAGTGTCCGATTCGTATTCGGTGTGTGGATTTGGTTTTAGGGCAAAAAAAAAATTAAGATCGCGTATTGCACCACTCGCAAGCTGTTTTTTGTTTTTGTTTGATGAAAAAAATATGATTGTTGGTTCCTCTTCGACTTTTCTCATTCTATGGGTTCGTTTGTCTGCGGAACGAAGCAGCTGCTCTTCGTTCGAGACACATTAAATGCTCATGAAACCAAAGCACACCGATTGAAAAATGACTGATAAATAAAATATAGAGAAAAACAGGAGAAAAAAAAATTGGATGGAATCAAATAAATTGAGCTACTTGAAAATAAAAAAGAAGCAAAGGTAACCAGAGGAGAACTACGTTTTTTTCTTTGAAAGGTAAAAATTGGCTTGTGTACACATTCGTGTGTATGTCTGCAAACGATGTGGTTTTCTTGGTTCACTATCGACTCTCATCATTTCTGCCGATACGCGTGCAATAGATTCGAATAGGCAAGAATAGAGGGAGATCGGATGAACATTGCCAAGAACAACATATGAAATCTAAACAAAAGAAATGAAGAAAAAAAATTGAACCAAAAATCCATAGTTTACTGACACACACGGAACAAACAAAGAGACAGTCCGAGTTAAATATACGACAACAATGATGATGATGATGACGATGATGATGATAAAAATACAGTGAAAAGAATGAATCGAATGAAAGAAGAAAGGAATAAGAAGAAGAAGAAGAAGAATGAAAATTTGTATCAGCCGGCAAAAGTAGTACGGTGAGGAAACCTTTTTAGTGTGCGTCGAGTCACTCACTCACAATGTCAAACAAACGCAAACAACAGCAGAGCGGCAGCCATGCAAGAGAGCCAATACAAAAACGAAATACACAAATCCAAAGCCGGAGACAAATGGCAGTCAGGCATGTGCATGTGTATGTTCAGTGCTGACTCAATACATTCAAAGCAATAACAATCAAATATATATACATGTATAAAAAAAACACAACAACGCAAAGTTCTTCGTGCTTCACATTAACTGTTTGGTTTTTATTTATATTTATTGTGTGTATGTTTTGTTGTCTTGCAACGATGGTTCGTTGTTGTTTCTGCTGCTGCCGTTTTTGTTAGTTTATTTCCCTTATTATTCATGTTGGATTGAAAAATGCTCATATATGGAAATTTTCGAGTCAACTTTTTTTTGCTTAATTTTCTTTCATTTTATGTCATTCGCTCTGGAGAGTGTGTTCGATAGTTCGTAGCTTCTTGTTTCGTCCAGAAAAAAGTGTTTATTTTTTGTTTGTATTCGCTGGTATGCTTTACTTGCCGTCTCTCTATCACTCTGTCTCGTTCAAATTTTCGAATTTTTCCCGTTCATTCTATCGTATGCAGCAGTTGCTCTCCGGCACAAGATCAGTGTGCGTTGTGAGAGTGTTGAATGTAGTTTTGTTTTGTTTTCTTTTTTCTTCACCATTAATGCTATTTTTTCACTTCTTTCATGTGTTTACTAAATTTTTCTATTCCAATTTGCGGCAAGATTCGGTAAATTTATGAGTGAGCTCTCGCGCGTCTGTGTATGTGTATGCGTATTTGCATGAATGTGTGCGCTCACGAAAAGAGAATTCGACAATTCGTTGTTGGTGTTGCTTCGCGCGCGCTCACAGTTCTATATGTAAATTGTATTGAAATAATTATAAAAAATATACGTATATATGCAATTGACAGGAGCCAAAATGAACGGCAAACACACATAGCGCGCAAACAGTAATCCGACAGAGCTGAAATGAGTATTCAATGGTTGCGCACACGTTTGGCAGAATAGTTTAGTTTGTTACACTGTTGCGACGGTCTATCCAGAGTATCTCGCACACAACAAATCCAACGAATTTCATTGCGTCCGAATATTTTTTGTTTGTTTTTTCTTTCTTTTTCTTTATTTCATCATAATTTTTCCCAATTTTCTTTCATCATTTTGAAGTGAGTTCATTTGTGTATATGTTTAAATATAAGAGAAAATAAAAATTTGTTTGCAAAATTTATTGGACAAAACTTAGAGCGAAAATAAAAAGAATTTTACAACGAACGAACCATTTAAAACAAACCAATGTGACAACGAAATCCAAACATTTCAATATTTATTGGTACTTGTTCTATGTGACGCACATTCAATTTAAGCCAGTTAAAAAGTGACAATTTAATTTTTTCCGATTTTTTCCGATTCAACTCAAAATCGATTGTAATCGAATACCAATTTGTGTGTGAAAATTAAGAAGATATGAAATGAATGTTGTGTATTTGTGTGATATCAACACCTCACGGCAATTTAATTAACGAATCGATGCATTGCAAAATAGCGAAAAGAAGAAAATAAGAAGCAAAACATTTACTGGAAACAAAAGCGAAGTGATTATAACAAAATAAAATACCATGAAATCGAATCGCCTTACGCAATCGAATATTTAGTATTCAGTATTTAAAAGTAACCGTAGTTTTAGTGTTTGCATAAAAATAGAAATCAATATTGTTACGTTAGAAATGGCATCAAATACATCCGAAGAATAACCAACATTCTGAATTGGCACACGTACCATATTTTTTTCATCTCTGTTGTTGTTGCTCTTTCCAACTGCAAATTATCATTTGGCGAATGCAAGACAACAAACATCTCAAACCAAAGTGGTATAAAGTTTCATGAATTTGTTGTGTGTGCAAGCAAGCTCGAGCAAACGAACGACAGCGTTTTGTGTGGTTTTGTGGCCAACCGGTTTAATTCGATTGTGTCAAATTTAGAATATATCGAAAAAAGACACAGATTCAACTGGCGCCGTACACTTTGTGCCAAGCGTGCGACAGACTCCTCTATAAAACGATCATTCAACAAACGAAATTGCGCATGTATTTCATTTCCATCGACAATTGATGACCGTGGCTCCAAAATAAAACACAGCAGACAGAGAACGAATAAAAATGCGACAAAAAGGCGCAAAATGCAAATGATTTCAACAAATCGTTTAAAGGAAACGAGAAACGTGATCTATACACAGTGCGCACACCATTGAGCGCACACAATAAAATCAAAACCAAGCAAAAGAATAAAAAAAAATTAAAACGAAAAAAAGAAAGAACCGCGCCAAACCCACAGAACAATTAATTTTTACCGAATTGTATAGTTTCCCAAAAACAGACGAAAAATAAAACACGACGAGAAATATTTAACATCAGAGAACATAAACCGCACAACCGAACACGAATTAACAAATAAAAGACACGAAAGAATACGAATAAACACACTGTCAAAAGTTCAGTGAACACAAAAAAAAATACTAGATCCAAACGGAAGAAAAGTGAAAGAAAAAAAACGTTCACATATTTATTTGAAAAGAAATGAACAACTAAACTTGAAACGAAAAAAAAAAAATAGAAAAAAAAATCAAAAACGAAACGACGAAATAACATATAGCAAAAATAAAATACTACAACAACAACACCACACCAGCAACGACAGCGAAAAACCAAAGCAAAACTTATAATAATCGTCGCCGAAGCAAAATAGCAATAACTATTGGATTGTGATGGGGAAATGTGAATGCCTAAATTGCATATTATCGAGTGCTTCATGAGCTTCGCCAAATAGCTAAGCTATAAGGTAAGATTAGACGAAAATAGTCTGAAAAAAAAAACAACAACAACTAGACGGCCTTAATTACGTATAATCTGCGAAGCATCTAACAGCAGCAGCTACGGCCACCACTATATTACATATATTTCGATAATATTTTGCAGCGTCGTTTTTGTGTTGTATATTTCTTTTCATTTTTCTTATTTTGTTGCCGGTTTGTTTTCTCAACTCGAAAAATACTCATTTTGAACGTTTACATGCTTCGCCTAGTCATAATAGTAGACAATTTTTTTTCTCTTCTTCTCTCTCCATTATTTCTCGCTTCTTCTGCTGCTTGCTTTGTTCTTTGGTATGAAAATTACATTCATTTACATTTATGTGAAACAGAAATGTGATCATTTCGCCGATGAATGTGCAATTGAACAACGAGAAAAAAAATAGAATGTTATGAATTTCGTACATTTTTGTTGATTGATACCGAAGAGGAAAAAAAAGTATTGAAAAAGATGAAGTAGAGAAGGAAAAACCTCACAGCAGCAGCAGAAGGCAATGTTTATGACTTCATTTATTTCATGATTTATTAATTAGTTAGAATATTTTTTCATTCTAATTTGAATTTTGGGACATGAAACATGAAATTGATTGTGCACGATTGAAATTCCGTATTGCATGCAACTGCGTATGTTGATGATGTGATGTGCCTTTGTTGCTGTCACTTCGTAGACAATTTTGTATTTATTATTTGCACTTAAAAATGGCAGATGTTTAATCACAATTTATGCATTTTGTCATTGGTTGAATGACAGTTGATTGATGGCCATCGCATAAAATGTGTGAACGATAAATAACATATAGTATGCGATAGACATAGAAAAAGAAATTGTCTATATTTTCGACGGAAACTCAACCATTTTTATATCGTTTTTTTATATTTCTGAACAAAAGTCAATGGCCAACCTGAACGAATCGGCACTGCGATATTTTTTTTTTGCTTTCTTCTCCCCCCCCTCTCTCTGTCTTAAATGAAATGTACAGTGGACCATAATCGTTTAATAGAACCGGTAATTTGGCGAATGAAACAAGATTCAAATGATCAAAATGCTAACTACTGTTATTGAGCTAAGAGAGTCTGAGCAAACCGAAATAAAGTTCCATTTCACTAGTTACGCGAATATTCACGCTACCGTGGCGAAAAAAATACGATATTGGGAAAACCGTTGGGAATCTATAGCGAATGAAACATTGACCGTTGTTCTTTTCTCTGTCACTCTTACGTCAAATTTTTTTTTCGACCTGTGTGATTGCGTTTTGTTGGTCCATCGAATGTTTGCCATTGAAAATTGCGGTTATTACACTCGTCATTTCTTTTTCTGTGTAGTTTTCTCTCTCTCCCCCTTTCGAGCTTTCTTCCTCTCGATCTAAATTTTTCTCTTGCTCAAACGATTAAATTGGATTTTTTAAAAGTTGCTGGTGTTTTTTTCCCATTAAAATGAAATAACCGATCTTGATTTTAAAAATAATAGTATGTAAATGTTGTTTCACAATCTCCATGTGAAAAAATGTTGAGTTACGCGACGGAAACACATAAGAAGTAAATGTACTATTTGTGATCATTCAGTTAGTTACCACCAGTGGAGGTGCGCGCAAGCGCTCGTAAGCATTTGCGTCAACACCAACTCATTCAACGCTTCACAAAGAAGATTTCATTACTTTTATCACATTCAGTTGCCTTGCTCATCATCGGTGTAATGATGTTGACTTTTGTTCGTCCAAGTTGCCGGCACACATTCACATCACATCAACATTACATTTTAACGAATGAAATGAAACTGAAATTAACAGCTCCAGCTTCTCAACTTGAATATATATATATATAAAATGAATGTGATCCAATATTATATTCGAATGTGTTGTTGTACAAATAATAAGAGGCAATAAATGTACAGAACGCACCACATTTCATATTGCATTTTAATGTTTGCGATGTTCAACAAAATAAACAGAATGGTAATTTTTGTTCCCTCTTTCTCATTCTCTCAATCACTCTGGATCTGTTTGAGCCGCTTTTTTTCTCATTCGCATATGCCACATGAAATGAACAAAATGTCGTCGCGATGCGACACAACAAATGTAATACTTGCCACATCCATTATGGATTTGGTTTTTTTTTGTTTTATTTTGTCTTTCTTATTTTAAACATGAAAATAAACAGTAAACGATGCCAAAGTAATAAATATACTAGTGGCAATGACGAGAAAAACAACAACCGAAAACAAATGTACTCAACTCGACGAAGACGACGACGGCGGCAGAGAAAGGCTCCAAAAATATTCGTCCAATTTCAAATGAATCATGCAAGCATTTCTAGCGAACGGTCATGTGAATTTCATGTTGTTTAATGCCAAATTACAAATGCATTTTATGATCACACATATAAGTATTAAAAGAAAGAAAAAAAACGTGATTAATCAAATAAAATATCTATTCCATTGTTGATCCACTTCTGCGATGCGATGAAGATCGCTCGAATATTGAATATGTATGTAAACAGATGGATAAATTCACTTTCAGATTTAAATCCATAATTTTATTTTGATATTATAAGTTTTAATCTTCGTGAAATCGGCCCATGCCATTTGCATATATACGCGCTTTCACTTGAACTAGTGATCGGAAATCGACTCTCACTCTTATAAAACAGATAATGCGTGTATCGTTAGCGCGTCGCAATAAATTTTTTATTATTTTTAGATTGTGGTGCTTTTTCATCACATCATACCATTTTCATTTTCAATCAGTGCATGCGTGACTTCATTTGAACGTCGAGCGTGCGTGTGTGTGTGCATCTGGCTGCAATTGAATCATTACAATGGTAGAACGAAATTATCTTGACAACCTTGAAACTAAATTCAAAAAAGCCGAGTTTATTTTATTTACACTATTATCGACTTGTCGTCGATTCTGATAACGCAACGCCTTCTGCCACTCAATCTTTTTATTATTATTCTTTCGCTTACACCTTGTTGCAATGGCTTCGATTTTATTATTGTTCTTTTATATTTAATTTTGGTTTACAATGTACACAAGCTGCTGTTGATGTTTCACCTAAGAATAGTCAGAGCGACTTTTTCTTTATCTGTATGTATATGGTTGTTCCTTTGTCTCTTTCAAGTTCTGTATCCATTTTTAGAAGTGGATGGAAGAAAAACGGCCCGCATATTTACATATTTTAATAAATACATTTATTTGTCATATCAAATGTGTTTCGTTTAAGTGAACAATGTTTGTGTGAAAGGGAGATCTCCTCATTATTTTAACATAAAATTTGGAATCTCGTCACTTCCGGTGAATTGGTTTGTTTGTTTTTCATCTATTCTATACAAATGTTTCATCGAAATCGATGTTAATGTTAAGGGGAATTTTTTTAAGGAGTTCAAATTTAATCCCAGCCACCGGCGTTGGCAGTCCATCCTTGATGATCGGCTGACGGCCAGATTCCACCTTGTGGCCATCCGGCACCACCACTTGGTGGACCTCCTTGAATTTTGATCACTTTAATCACTTGTGGAGCTGGTGCTATATACCAAATGAACAATCAAGACAAATGGGGATTTTCCAATTAATTTATCATCGAAAACAAAATAACCGAGTCTGAAGCATATTCACAAATAAACTCATGACACATATTGAGAGAAAAAAAAACTTTTCACGCAATTTGGAATCAGTTGTCAATTTTCATGTGAACTTGAATGAATCAAGTGTTTCGAAAATAAAATGAAACTTACCATGGTGGTCGCCATGGCCACCAGAATATCCACCATCGACCAACTGCAATAAATACATTACATTGAAATTTATTATCAAAACGTTTGAAATTGATTTTGAAATCAGGCCAATATCTGTTTTGCCTTTTGTGAATCATTTTTTTTATCACATGTGTATTGTTCAAAAAAAAACAACAACAAACCTTGATAACTTTAACTGGAGCAGAGGGGCCTGGACCGTATGAATAACCGCCAGCACCACCACCACCGTGACCACCAGCATGGCCACCCCCTGAAATAAAAAAGAGAGATTTATTTATTGCTCTTCTCAATACAAAACTTTAACCGAACCGATTTTACTTATTCAAGCATGACTTTGGTTCGGCACAACAAAGTCATTTGTTCGTAATTAAAATAGGTGTAAACGTGACTGAAACATGTATGTAAGAAAAGTTCCAGTTATTTAAGTTGTCACTTTTTTTGCAAACAAGAGTGATGTGGAAATTTCTCACAGTAAAAAAGCAATTGCATCATTTCGACCGGTTTTTTATGAAACGCAATACAATCGTGTTCAAATAATTGCGCATATCTAAATATCATTCTTACGATAGCCGCAATGACGTGATTACATTTTTTACTGTAGCTGTTATTTTTGTGATTTTTTTTCCCGCTCATCTGTTTGACGCATACATTCGAGCCACTTAAAATAATTGTTATGTTTTAATCTCATCTAGATACAGATGAACAATACAAAGTAATTTCTGTTTCATTCGTGAATTCGCTACACTGTGAACTTTTCTTATGCTATTTTCACTTCAACATTCTAACATTTCTCTTTCTTGAATTGTTCTTTGAAATACCTTGAACGCGAACAATTTTGATGATTTCTTCGCTGTGACCGCCTCCATGGCCGCCACCATATCCACCGTGACTACCGCCGTGTGATGGCTCCTCAATCACCTTTACAATTTTTGCTGGTGCAGGTGCTGGGGCGCTACTTTGCCAACCACCACCGCTGCTACCTGCAAATTTACAAACAAAACATTTTGTGACATTCATTTTGAGATAATAATGCACTTTTATTCTAAACAAGCCGACGTTATTTTCAATGTCGGCATACACGTAGTCCGATATAGTAACTCGTTTGGTTTTTTTCCACGAAGCAAATATGTTTTCACATCGAATATGTTTATCAGTTTCTGTTTTTTTGTGATTTTTTTTTTAAATCGAAGCGATTTCTCCAGAAGATTTATATCGTTTTCGAATTTACATTTAAATGCATGCCAATAGCAATATTTCCGCTATATCCGCTGTAGCTGATTTATTATTTCACAACAGCTGGTTTTTTTCGTATTCGAATTAAACACATTTCAATGGACGTTGTGCACACGATAAAAGTCACTATTTCTGTGTTTACGATCGCAATCGATTGCCTTTTAACGATAAAAGTTGGACTATGTATGATGTATGAAACAAAGAGTTAAAATTGAATTTGATTTATACTTATCAATTTGAAAATTGATTCATCAATTTTTAAATGAAACTTTAAAATGTTTCATTCGAATTTTTGCTCATTTGTTTCATCACTTACAAATTTATATCCAAAAAAAATAACAACACAAAAATAACTTACCGCCTTGCCAGCCAGGACTTGAATAATCATAACCGCCACCACCTCCGCTACTGCCACCGCTTAAGAAACCGCCCGACACATAGGCAGCGCAAATAAGAACACAGACAAATACCTGCAACAAGAAGTACACTTTAAATTAACACCCAAGCAATTTTTTTTATTCATTTCCACAAATTTCCTATTATTTCAATTGAATTCCATTGGAATTTCGTCATATATTTATTCACAATATGTACATTATCACAAGCAAAATGCAATCATTTTCATTTCTGTAAAAAACAATTGTCTTCAAAATTTCAAGCTTAGATTCGACTTTCAATTTCACCATCTAACACAACTTGAAAAATAATTTAAAGCACGAAAAATCCTCTTTTTCTCGAAATATTTTTTTTTACCTTCATTGTTGATGTCGAATAACGGACAAGAGACAACTGACTGATGTTCGAATGAAATTGGCGATGAGCTTTTATACCGTTCCAAAAAAAATATCCGCCGAAAACTAAAAACGTCATATGAGAAAGGTGTTTGCGTTCCCAAAACGCGAGCCATGGCAATGAATGAAAGAAAGAAAAAAATATGAATAACAACATCCATCTACAACTAACAGATTAGTTTTTGCGTTTTCTTTTTTTTCGGGGTTTTAATTATATGAATAGAAAAGTTCGATACCGCAATTATCATATAACAATATTTTTTTTTCTTACTCTGTCTCTCTCTCGTTCGGAATTCATATTCCATAAAGCATTCGATGCTTATTTATACCGACCATAAATATTGGCATTTTTCTTTTACGAATATATCAACGCAATGAAAGACAGAAAGAGAAATTGATAGCGTGAGCGTACGATCGGTCGTTTTGATAGAGTATGTGTCGTCTTCATTTCGGTAATATATCATAGCCACATTCTATCTGTACATATACGCAAAAATGTCCCATGAATTCAATGAAGAAGAAGAAGAAGAAGATTCATTCGATGTTTGTAGATATAGTGCGTTTCGATCATTAATCCAATCTTATTAAGGTGAGCGAGGCTGATTTTACGAATTGAAAAGAGAGAGAGAGAGAGAGAGAGAGAGAGTGAGCAAGCGAAAAAAGTGTAAAATTTCAAAATGCAAACGATTTTGCGAAATGAAAGTCAAAAACAATATTGGCATCATCTGGGAGTTTTCAACTGATGATTGAATTCATTTCGGCTGTATCACCAAATTCATATAATCGCATTCCAAATATTGCAGTTTTACTTTGCTACTCTCATTGTTTTTTTATTACAATATTCAAGATCAGAGTGCTAATCACTCTCTTATTAAATTAATAACTTTTTTTTGGCTCGGTGTTTTCGTAAATCGAATTTAAGATACAAATAAGCGCACAAATACCAACCCCATAGAAAAATGTGCAATAATGATGTAAACTAAGTTATTGTTTGCATCCACTGAATATTGATTGGTCATTTCTCTTCCACCGCAACCACAAGGTTTTGTAAATTGAATCTGTGAAAAAAAAATTGTTCTCCGTCTTTCTCGGGAGCTCTCTCTCTCTCTCTCTCTCTCTCTCTCTCTCTCTCTCTCTCTCTC